GAGTGCTGTAGTCTGCAGTGCCTGCGCTGCGAGGAGGAGCTGCACCGGCAGGAACGGCTGAGGAACCATGAGCGGATAAGGCTCAAACCTGGCCACATCCCTTACTGCGACCCCTGCAAGGGCCCCAATGGCCATTCCCCCGGCGTGAGGCAGAGGGCCACCGTGAGGTGCCAGACCTGCAAAACCAACTTGTGCCTGGAGTGCCAGAAGAGGACTCACTCGGGGGGTAACAAAAGGAGACACCCGGTTACTGTGTACCATGTCCCTAAGGTGGACGGGTCCCTGGAGGAAGAGGAGATGGACGTTGAGACCCAAAGGAAGAAGATGACTGAGAAGGTTGTGAGTTTCCTCCTAGTAGATGAAAATGAAGAAATTCAGGTAAGCCTCTGGGCACAGTGGGAGTCAGGGAATGGGGGCAGATCTGTCGTGGGAAGGTGGCTCTCCAAAAAAAAAGGTCCAGGAGGGACTTGGGTTTTTCATGATTAAAAGGAGCCACGTCCTGAAGGCTGAACTGGCATGGTGTCAGAGGTAGTCACTGGCCTGCGGTGTGACTTGGGGCCGAATGACTTGACTTCTCTGAGCCCTGGTTTTCTCCTCTACAACATGGGTGGTTGTGAGGATGAAATGGGACAGTGTTTGTGAAGCACAGAACCAGCCGCATCGTGCTCAGGATGTGGTAGCTCCGGATGTTGGGAAGAGCCTACGTCGCACAGTTCTCTGGGTAAGCACGCTTGGGCAAGTTGGGGCTACACGTCAGTGGTGAGAGACTGCACGTGTAGGGAAGAAATACTGACAATGGGTCCCACAGGCGTGTGAGGCAGTGAGCCTGCTAATCTCCATGTAGAGAGGCAGGTCTTTAAAAAGTGGCTTCTGATAAGGACACTTTTCTCCAGATGGCCTCTTATTTTTTCACAGCGGCTTCTGATCAGTACAAGCCAGCGCGGGCATCTGGGATTAGCGAATGACTAGGAAATATTTCATTTGCTTCTGAGTGAGCTGAGGAGGCGGTATTATGCGACCGTTAGGTGCAAGTTGGGGAGGTGTTAGGGCTGGAGGTTAGGAGCGATTAGGGCTGTGGTCGTGTGGGTGAAAGATGAGGCTGTC